TTTAAATGAAGTGGCAATTATTTAAATCGCTGCTTCATTTGGGTATGTCTAGTAAACTAATCTACATGGCTCTAGCGACAGACACACATAGTCTAGACATACCCCTAGGGAGCTGGTTCCTGTGGAGCCACCTACTTTCCCCTGCTGCTTCCTGCAGATCCCATGGAGCTGCCTGCCCTCACCCTTCCCCCTTTGCTGCTGTCTCTAAGGCAGCAGAATGAGGGTGAGGTAGGGACAGCAGAGAGGTTTGGTATCCGTTAATATAGTTCTGTTCCAGTATGAGCAATCAGACTGTATGTCTGTTGTCTTGACCAGTATTCCTGTTGAAACCTGGATGCTGCTAAATTTATTAATATAATTCAGAATGGAAATAAATGATTCTGTGTGTCTGTCTAAATCTGCCGCATCATTTACTTGTCAGGTTCAAGTGGAGCCCTTGATGTCTAATCTATACTATTATAAAATGAGAGGCATCTGTCACAGACCATTTCAGAAGACTTGAAAAGTTTCTAGCAGGAGGCAGACCCCCAGCCCCGCCCCCTCTGCTGAGGACTTGCCCCCATCACAGGGAGAGGAGGAGGAGCAGCACATCAAGTGCATCTCCCCGCCCCCCTCCTGTGGGGAGGGGAAGAGCATGTGTGCCCCAGCATCTCCAGAGAAGGGGGGGAGAGAAGAGGCCCCATGGTCCCAACTTGCCCCCGGGAACAGCTGAAAGAGAGGAGGCCCCATGGCCTAAGCCGTCCCAAGCCTTCCTGGCCTTGGGAGCAGCGGGGAGGGAGGAGGCCACGTGTGTGTGCTTGTCTCAACACCACAGGGAGGGGAAGAGCATGTGCATCCCCAGAGCAGCAGCGAGGATAGAGGATGCATGGCCACAACTCGCCCCCAGCCCCAGGAGCAGCAGAAAGGGAAGAGGCCGTATGGCCGGAGCCTCCCCACGCTCTGGAGCAGGGGGGTGGGTGGAGGCCCCACAGCCTGAGCTGTCCCAAGCCTTCCCAGCTCCGGAAGCAGTGGCGATGAAAGAGTCCGCATGGGTCCAGTTTCCTTGGCCCTGGAGCAGCGGGAAGGGAAGTGGCCGCGTGGCCCACGCCTCCCTGCCCCGGGAACAGCAGGGAGGGAGGAGGCCACATGTATGTCTACTGTCCCAATGTGATGGGTAATGCTAGTATGTAATAAAGAAAAAAAGCTTTATTTTTTTTTGTTTAGGCTTGCCATCTTTGTGGATGAGTGGTTTTGCTGTGGTGCTGTTGGTTAATTTAGTCAGTTCCATGAGCTACTATGGGAGAGCTAATCTGTTCTCTTTTCAGCACAAATAGAACAGGCAACAATCAGATGAGTGCACAGAAATGAAGCAGAGGGGAGCAGGGAGAGGGTCTGGCAGCATGTTTGTTGTGGTTCTGAACATCAGCAAAAGAATATTTTAAGAGGATTTTCAGTACATACTATTTATAGGGTGCTCTTTTTAAAAACTTATTTTTAAAAATTTCAATTTGATAGTATCCTTATAAATATTAAACAATATATCCTTTTACTAAAATAGACAGTTTTCGGGACATTCAAAATACAAATAGCTTATTGTAATATCTTGCCAGTGAAAACCTCATAGATTTGCAGCTGTTAACATAATATTTAATTTAACATCTAAGTGATTTGCCATCGAGTTTGCTGAAACAGAGGCAGCAACACAGGGATGGGGGAGCAGGCAGCTCCCGGGGAGCTAGTTTTTAAGGTTACCCCCACACGAATGGAGAGCCTGTATGTAATTATACACACTGTTACACTTTCACATCCCTAATAGGTAGCCCATATAACACATAATCATGTGCTACTTTGTATAATAGCAACAGTTAGAAGAACCAAACAAGATTGAGCTAGGGATGTAAAAAAATCAGTTAAACGGATAACTGTCACCACTGAAAATCTCAGTGGTTTTATAGTTACACTTGCTGCAGGTCTGCAGTATAAAGCTTAAATAAGCAAGGTTGTTAGCCCCTGCTAGCTCTGCTCCTAGTGAGAGGTTTCCCTGCTGCAGAAAAGCCACCTGTTTGGAAACTGGACCACCAGTCCCTGCCAGCCATGCTCCTGGGGAGGAAGCTTCCCTATCACAGTAAAGCCGCTTCTCTGGGAGCAGAACTGGCAAGAGCTGCTGGCTTGCTCTTGGGGAGGAAACTCTGCTGCCACAGCCAAGCTGCTGCCCCAGGAGTGGAGCCAGCAGCCCTTGCTGCCCTGCGCCCAAGGAGTCTTTTCTGCAGGCTCTGCAGCTGGTTCCCTGAAAGTGGGGATGTCAGCACCTGCCAAGTCTGCTCCCATGGACCCAGCAAGTCTGCTCCCATGGACCCTGTGGGAGGGAGGGTAAGCTGGGTCCACTATGGACCAGGGTTGCTCTGGCTAGGTGGTCGGAGTAGCTCCTGGTGGTCCCTCCTGGGGCTGGAGCTGCTCCAGTCCCTGTGGATAACTGGAACCTGTTGATGCCTACTAGTTAGCCAGTTAATTGGTTAACCTTTCACATCCCTAGTTTGAACTGCACCTCATATAATAGGGCCTCAGTCTTGTTTGGGTCTACATCTTGCTGTTATATAAAGTAATACAATGATTACATGTTATGGACTACTACTAGAGATATGACAGTGTAACCTGGGCTTATCAGTTAACCTACTCCCCACACGTAGGTTGCTCCCAAGAGCTGGTGCGTGTGAGGAGCCAGCTTGTAAGCCAGCTCTCCTTGCAGACCTGCTTC